TATTTTTAATAAGTGGGCCTTAGGGTAAGTGTGTTTAACTAGGAGTAAGTCCACGCTTACCCAGCAAACTGAGGGAGGTGGAACTCTAAGGAATGGGGGCCCTATTCTTGACAAAGAAGTACAGCAAAGGACTAGTAAGATAAGACAGGGTCATGGGCTGGGGTTATTGCAATTGATGTATTGTAATCTGTATATTTGAATAGCAAGTGAGATCAAGCCCTGCACCTCTACTTTCCCCATAACAAGAGCCTTTGTGGGGGACTCAGCAGGAGCTGAACCACCAGCCAAGAAGAGCCACTCGAAACACGTGTGTTGCCAGTCTCATACAACCTGGAGAAGAAATACTGGTAATTATATCCTACTCTGGAACCAAGGTTGGATAAAGTCACTGATGGAGATTGTCACTGATTTCTTGTTAACTATCTTTCTCACCCACCAAATAAGTTCAAACCTAAGACAGGGCCAGCGTAACTAATACCAACCTCCACCCTGGCAAACATTAGTCTCATGCTCAAAGTAAGAATGGCTGCGCATTTCTGTAGTCTCCTGAGGCTGTCTTTGTATCGATGGAGGGAAAAAAGGTAAAATTTGAAAAGCTATAGTCTATAGTCTATGACACAGGATTTAGTGCACAAGGAAACAAAAATGTTCACCTGTATATGTTTTTCAAATTCTTCAAACTTTTTAAATCTATTTGTTCTTGTGAAGATTGGTCTTAAGGTTCTGAGTAGGACATAGATTACTCTAGACAACGTATCTAGTATCTCGAATGACAGAATTGGGACAGACTGTGTGATGATGCAAATGTCCCTTAAAGGTATCCCTGGCTCAGAGGAGATGGGGTCTAATCAAGATCTTGCTAGGAGAAGCCACCTACTGACAACAGAAAAACCACCTGAGACATTGAGGAAATTTGCATGTCTTTCTCTGAAATCTGTAGTACTCCCATTTGAATTTGGGCAAAATAGATTTCTGCATGTATTCTCTCACCATTCCTTAGAAGAAATGTCACTCTCTCAACTGCTAATTTTAAAATCCGTGTCTATAGATTTTCTGATTTAAATATAGTCATCATTGGAAGTTTAGATGAGTTATTTTGGGCTGTCCCTGTAGCATATACATAAATTTGATTAATTGTTATCTACCCAAGCATTGTTGGAATAATATTACTTATATTTATACATACAATAAGACTTTTTCTTTACCGGGTATAATGCAACCATTTTAAGAATGAAGAGTATAAAGGCAGTTCAACCCAGGAGCGGAGACGGCTTTGTAGTAATGCAGATTTTTAAAAATGTGAGCCTGGACTTTGAATTCAACTCATAGCATTATAGCCCTTGTGATTTTTATACTTGTTATTATATCCTTTAGATTGAGTTTCTTCTTCAGTGTAACTATGAACTCGAGTATTCCATAATGACTAAGCATCTATTGGCTGACTTGTTGCTATGTGGGTTTTGTCCCTGCTGAACCAAGTCTACCAACGAAGCCCTGGTGTCAGGTAGCCTTCTACAACATGTCAGAGCATTTCTGAAAACATCAGTGATTTCTTGGCTTCCTGCCACCAAATATAGTGTTTTCTATCCATCTCCAGCTCCCTCCTCTGGAAGTAGTCTTTTTCCTGAAGAGAAGTACAAAGGACCTCATCTCCTTCAAGGATTTATGACTCTGTATGACTTCTGGTTTGAGCCAGGATGGCTGGAGAGCAGTATTGGTTATTTCAGGGTCAGTAACAGAAATCCGGCATGAGTTCATACGTATGTCATGACATTTTCCCTAGTTTTAAAGAGTTGCTTTCTTTTCTTGTTCTTATACTAGTTTCACAGTCAAGTCTTACTCATTTTCCCTTTTTCTTTGCTCCCAAGAGGATTAACACCTAAGTCAGCGTTTCCTGATTTAATAAATAGTTATCAAGGGCCCACTATTTGCCTGGTCCGCCCTGTTCTAGGAACTGGAAATAGATCAGCCGACAACAAAATAGTCCCTTCTCTTATGGACTTTGATGTCATCGCCGAGGTCCTCGGTAGCTAAGGTTATGTAGTGTACATGCCTGACGTAAAGTTTTTGATTGCCAAGATATCCATTTCAAAAGACAGCCATCTTGAACAAACATATTGCCAGCCTCACGACACCGCTTCCAATAAAACACCTGGTTAAGAAGCCAGGCCACTCCCACCCATGAAGTTCCCCTTTTTAGAAAGCCCTGAGTAACCTAGATAACTGACTGCTTGCATGACCCCACTTCTCCCTTCCCAAGTCCTAATTAACAATGTTATGTTTTAAATTCACCAGTAAAGGGGTGTCTGGGTGGCTCAGTCAGTTAAGGTCTGCCTTCGGCTCAGGTCATGATCCTAGGGTCGTGGGATCGAATCCTGAACCGGGCTCCCTGCTCAGTGGGGAGCCTGCTTCTCCCTCTGCCTCTCTCTCTCTGCCTGTCCCCCGACTCACGTGCACATATTCTCTCGCTCGCTCTCAATAAATAAATAAAACCTTAAAAAAAAAAATTCACCAGTAAAGTATGAGCTTGTAAAATCCTAGGCATCCACTCCCAATGTAAATAAAAACAGAACACCAGGTCTATGCTCCCCCAGGCTCCCCATGACTTCCCTGTGTGGCCTTGGGCTTGCTCCATGTATCCTCCAGGACTTGTGAATAATAAACCTTGTTTTTTTTCCTTTTTCTTTTTAAAAAATATTTTATTTATTTATTTGAGAGAGAGAGAGAGAGAGCTGAGCCGGGAGGTGGAAGGGAGGGAGGTGGGGCGGGGAAGGGCAGAAGGAGAGGGAGAAGCAGACTCCCCACCTGAGCAGGGATCCCTATGCCTGGCTGGATCCCCGGGTGGCAGGATCATAACCTGAGCCAAAAGCAGACCCTTAACCGACTGAGCCACCAGGCGCCCCTAAACCTTGTTTTTTCAAAGTTCCCTGATGGTTGTTGCTGAGGTGAATCATAATAAAAGCCAAGAAGATCAATCCAACTGCTGCCTAGTGAAGACCATCTGTCCAGCCATTACTGGGATTTTGCCAGAGGCTCTCAGTTTCATCACAAGTAAAGAATTTAAGGACCAACCAGACAGGGTTGAGTGGTGCAAGAGTTTATTAAAGAGAGAGAATACACTCTCGAAATAGAGAGTGGGCCACCTCAAGGGAGAGCTGTGCCTGGGGTTTGGGTCTCTATCTTTCTTTGACAGTATTAACTAGGGGGTGCAATATTTATTATTTGGGGAGGGGATTTTTGGGGGGAGCAGGGTTTTGCACCTTTTCTCCCATATTTATGAGGGTCTCTGGCCTTCTTGGTCTTGGGCTTGTCTGGTTTGATCTGGCTTCTTGTGGCTTTGTTTGCAGAATTCTGCCAGGACAGGTTGCTAACTTTCCTGATAATGGGCCTTGCATCCCCCTTTGCTGGCCTCCAGGCATCCTGTTAAAGCCTAACTAACTGCCTACTCTAACACAGCCACACCTCAGCTCCGGTGGGGAAAAGTCTGTGGGGGCCCACACAAGGAGTGGGCCCCGGCTGAGTGCGTCAGGCTTTGGTAATCTAGAGCATCGCTGTTCATAGCCCAATGCAAAACAGGTAATTTGTTAAGCAGAGTCAAAACTGGCTGAATGGGGAATGCATTGTCAGAGTGCAGGTAGGCAAAATTCCTATCTTATTCCTGGAGAATCTTCATAGATTTGCAGCTTGTGGGTACAAAGATTTTTGCCTGGGTTTAGAAGGTAATTTAAGACACAGATCAAGGACTTCTCAATAAGTGCCAACAATATATCCCAGACCAATTAAGTCAGAATCCCCGGGGTTGGCTCACAGGCATCAATATATATTAATATATTAATAATTAATAATGTATACACACACACACACATACATATACCTAAAGTTCTCTGGATAAGAGAGATAACCTTGCAGTCAAGGTTGAAAGATCATTGTATTAATGTTACCTGTTTGTGGAGACAAAAAAACAAACTATATTTTACTGTAACAATTTTTGATGAGATGAAGGCTTTAACCAGAAGCCGAATTAATGAAAAGGAGAACCTCCCTCCCACTCCCCTACCCCTCCGTTTTTTTTTCCTACCATATTTTTTTCTTACTATTTTTTCCCTCTCAGCTGACAAGAGCTTATTCAGAATCAAATAGGCAGTAACTTACTGAGAACAAAGCTCAAAAAATCAGAGTAATAGCTCAAATAGGTCTGATTTTGATGCCTTGGCATATGCTTTTATATCATTCTGGAAAATGATTTCCCTTTGTATTTATTTCTTCAAGAAATCCTAAGAAGCTTCAAGATCCAACCCAGTTGTCACTCTCCTTATAAAACCAGAATGAACTATTGACAGATTTTGTAACACACTCCTCTGAGTTGCAGTTGCATTGCAGTCAAACTTTTGTCACATTCAAAAGTCATAGTTTACCTAATGTTGCTTTTTCTAATACTCTGTGAGCTCCTTAATGTTGCTTCCCTTTATTCACTTATTTCATCTACAATAGTATCTGAACTATTATGGATTTTATTGAATGGAATTAATGAATAATGCCCGTATTAGAGAGATTTATTTTTAGACAATTATATTACAATTAAGAAACCTGGATCCAAATGGTATTTTTGGGTTCAAAGGAAAGTGCAAATCAGTGTAAAGAAATCTGTCTCATATTTGCATGTTTGCATATTGGACTTTATTCTTCCGGATGTTCTCACAAGTGGAAAACTGCTGTCAGTGCCAATGATGAGTGGGGACATTTACTGTTTAATTTGGAAATCAGTCGCTGACTGGAAGTTATGTTAAAGTTTTTCATTTAAATCTGCGAGATTGGCTCTCGTTGTGTGTACTTCAGAGCCTCGGCTGGAATAAAAGGGAAGGATCTTTCAGGAAGATAAGTGAGCCCGTGTCTGAGCATTTTTCAGTGAAAAGTATCAGCTTGGATTTTATTCCACAACATTTTGACAGCCAAAAAATCAGTGAGACATAGGATTAACTTTCTGGATTCTTTCTACAGAAATGCCATCTGGAATTCAAAATGCTTTTCTGGTAGCAGCAACAGGAGAATTCATAGCTGGAATGTTGGGGAGCAGCTTCATTGTACTGGTTAACTGCATTGACTGCGTGAAGAATCAAAAGCTCTCATCAGCTAACTGCATTCTCACCAGCCTGGCTATCTCCAGAATTGTTCTTCTTTGCATAACACTATTCAATTCATTTTTAACGGTGTTCCGGCCACATCTTTATGCCATTGATAAACTAGCAAGATTCGTTAGTATTTTTGGGACACTGAGCGATCACCTAGCTGCCTGGTTTGCCACCTAAGTGTTTTCTACTTTAAAATAGCCAATGTCTCCCATCCCTGTTTCATCTGGCTGAGGTGGAGAATTAACAGAGTGCTACTTGTGCTTCCACTGGGGTCTTTATTCTTACTGTCTTGCAACTTTGAATTATTAGATACATTTACTAATTTCTGGGTCAATGTCTATCAAAGATATGAAAGAAACTCAACTTGGTCCCCAGATGTAAGGAAAACTCTGTATCTTAACAGCTTGATTGTTTTCAGTTTCATCTACTTAATCCCCTTTCTGCTGTCCCTGACCTCACTGCTCCTTTTATTTCTTTCCCTGATGAGACATACCAGGAATGTGCAACTGAACTCCGGCTCTAGGGACTTCAGCAGAGAGGCCCATAAGAAGGCCATGAAAATGGTGATGTCTTTCCTTCTCCTCTCCACGGTTCATTTTTCTTCCGTCCTTTTAACAGGTTGGATTTTCCTTTTACTGCAGAATTGTCAGGTCAATTTGGTTGTCATGTTATTATCAACTCTTTTTCCTTCAGGCCACTCATTTATTCTGATTTTGGGAAACAGCAAGTTGAGAAAAACTGCTTTAGGACTACTGTGGCATCTTAATCGCCACTTGAAAATGGTGAAACCTTATCTTCATAGACTTTTCCAGAATTTCCTACATCCCAAGAGAATTAAATTAATGAAGAGACATTGAAGATCCATTTTAACCTTTGTTTTTCTCACTGGATTCATTTAGATACTATTAAACATCACAGACTTTCCCCAGAATGACCTATAAACGTAAAAAGCGAGCATCATTCATTATAACACTTGCTAGTAACAAGAATATATTTGAGACAATATGAATATAAAATATGTAATGCAGCATGTATTGATTTTATATGTACTAGCAAATATTTATTATGTTACTATGTGAGAAAAGGGTTACTTAGAAATGAAAATCCCTTCCAAGTTGAAGTAGGTGGAATATTTGTACAATAATAAGTTAAAAATAAATTAAGGAATAAAAATGCTGGAAGTGCATCATCATCCCATAACAACAGATAAAACTTTTAAAACAAAGAAACAAGACTCTCAGTATGAATCCAAGCTAGAATAGACACTAATAAGAGAAAAATCAACTTAGTTTATAAAAAGACACTGAATAATGATCCCTAATTGTATAAGAATACTTTTATGTGTACTTTACAAGGATCAAAATCGGAGTTTGTGTGGGGTGTGTGTCTGCATGTAACGATTATACGAAGGCTGGTGTCCCTTGTCAGAGAGGACAAAGACAACCAACTCACCAGGGATAAGAACAAAAAGTTTACAGGAGAAATATGTGTATTTGTGTAAATTTTAAACACGTTTGTGTGTGTGTGTGTGTGTGTATATTATATATATATATGGTGCCAGGTTGATGTTTATAATAAAATAATTGAAATGAAATCAAAGTAGCTGAAAATGTACATAATCTTAAGGCCAGCCCTTGGCAAAATTGTGCTTGTTAGTGATATTGCAACTCTGAATAAAAGTTTGTTATCTAGTAATTTTTAGAAATTAAAATTTTAAACATTAAACTATCGATAATGAAGAAATCGTTGTAGGGTTTTAAATTGCCATAATTTTTCAATTGTAGAAGCTAACAAAAAACAAAAACAAACTAGATAATAAATGTTGAAAAATATGTGGGTTATAAGTTAATTTTGATGGAGCAGTAGGTCAAGTCTAATGCTGGGAATATAAAAACCATAAGGGCTTTTTAAAGTGTACTCTTCCTCCAGGGAACTGTGCTATGGGGTGCTCTGATGATGAGGAGGATACATGTACATACCCACCCACAAAAAGATTTAGATTTTTTTTTTTTAACTTCACTCATTATGTTGGATCCTATATAAGAAATTTCCTGGGTGGGGGGCTGTGGGGGAACTGGATGAAGGTGATCAAAAGATACAAACTGCCAGTTATAAGAAGAATACATACAGGGATGTAATGTACAACATGATGACTATGATTAACACCTGCTGTATGGTAAACTTGAAAGTTGCGAAGAGAGTGGATCCTAAAAGTTCTCATCACAAGGAAGAAAAAATCCTTTTTTTTTTTTTGGTATCTATGTAAGATGGTGGATGTTAACTGAACTTACTGTTGTAGTCATTTTGCAGTATTATGGTGTGCAGTTTAAGCTTATACAGTGCTGTATGTCAATTATATCTCAATTAAAAGAAATTTCCTAATGACTGTCACTGGGATTATCTTACTTTTGGAAAGGTGGAATTCTAATCATACTAGCTATTATTTAGATTCAGATATTGAGGATAATTTGGTTTAGAACACATCCTTTTTCATAAGGAAGATTACTTTGTACTTACTAGAAGTAAGCATATTTAGTTTTAGTTTTTAGATTTACACGTTAGTATCAGCAAACTTTTTTTTATTAACTAAGATAAAAAAAAAAAGATTTAAACAACCATGCACAGCCCTTGCTTCCTATGAGTGGGATTTAGCAGTAAATGTTCTCATTAGGATTAAGTCCTCACTTCTCATGTACTGATGTTGGAGAGATGAAGCTCTAAGAAGTAGGGGCCTATTCCTGATAAAAAGCACACAAAATGACTATTAAAAATGAGGCCTGGGTTACAGATTGGGCAGTGACTACTGGTGTATTGCTTTTTCCCTAGTAAAATGATATTTTGAAGGATGCCTGGGTGGCTCAGTCGTTAAGCGTCTGCCTTCGGCTCAGGTCATGATCCCAGGGTCCTGGGATCCAGCCCCGCATCGGGCTCCTTGCTCAGCAGGGAGCCTGCTGCTTTTCCCACTGTCTGTTGCTCGCCCTGCTTCTGCTCTCTCTCTCTCTCACAAATGTATCAATAGAATCTTTAAAAAAAGATTGATCAAGAGTTACTCTCAGAATAAATCTTCATTTAAAAAATTGATCAGATGATTGGTTTGATCAATTCAGGAGAAAAGTTATTGAAGAGGGTTATATATAAAAAAAACCACAGGTGACAGACGGGTTATTTTCAATTTTGCAGTTGGGAAACACCAACATACATACAGCTTCAGAAGACAAAGGAACACCATGGTACCTCTATTCCTTAGCCCCATGTTTAAATGAGTTTAATTTTAAAAATAACTTATTTTCCCTTTCATACAGATCTAACCTGACCTCTGAATTTTAAGGCTCCTATTACTCACTCTTTGACTTGAGATATTCTCAAAAGTTTTCTTTTTATCCATTAAAAACTAGTTTCTTGAAAAAAAAAAGCTCCTTTTTAAAAATTAAACCTTTTTCTTTTTAAAGATTTTATTTATTTGACAGAGAGAGACACAGCAAGAGAGGGAACACAAGCAAGGGGAGTGGGAGAGGGAGAAGCAGGCTTCCTGCCGAGCAGGGAGCCTGATGTGGGGCTCGATCCCAGGACCCCGGGATCATGACCTGAGCCCAAGGCAGACGCTTAATGACTGAGCCATGCAGGCGCCACCCCCCCTTTTGGTTTATCTGTTGGCCTCACTTCTCTGTGCCTATGATTTCAGAGTGAAGACATTCCGGGCACAGTTATTTCATTAGCGCTTTTTATCTTTTGGTTGTGACAATTTATTTTTTCTCAATTTGGTTCATATGAAAAGGTATACCCAATCCATTTCATTCAATGTATGAACAACCTTCATTTCTCTTTATTCATTGATGCCCTCCACTACCTACTGTGAATAAATCCACATACTTGGTATTTGAAAGCCATAAAGATGGGCAAAATTTTCTAATGCAGATCCTGAATTAGGATAGGAACTGGCAGGGGTGCCCTCAGATGTACTGCAATTAAGCTACTAAGAATTCAATAGTTTCTTCTTATCATTTGTTGGTAGGCAGTCAGTAATGTCCTTGGCCTTTTGATGGTCCCCAGAGCATTGCTGAGATTGGAGGCGGGAGAAGCGGACTTCATTTGTAAAGACTCATGACTTGGTTTGGTGGTAATCTTGCCCGGCAATCGGCTATTGAAGAATTCTTACTAAAATTGCAAGAAGTTCCCATATTCATGATAATCCAACCCAACTGCTGTGAACCAACTGAACCCTACTGGAAACCCTAGTTATTGCAGGGGTTCCTTTCTTGGTTCTCTTGCCTGAAACCTTCCAACTCTGCTCTTCAGGCTACTTTCCAGGCTCAGTTTCTGGCAGTTTCCTGTCTCCTTTTGTTCCTATATTCCTAAACTTTCCATTCCCACCCCTTTACGTCTCCATGTGTAAGTCCTATTTTCTTTTCGACTATCGAATGTATGAATGCTGAACCAGGAAAAGCCCCCATTAAAATAGGACTGTAAGACTTTGTAACAGAAAATTTAGGTAAGCCTCCTCAGAGCAGTGATGGATAGTTCCAAAATTCATGTTTACCTTATCACCTCTACTCCTTAGGGGTAAGTAAAGTGTTTCCTTTTCAATCATAGGGGCAATGCCCTTTTTGCTACCTCCCTTCATCCCCCTTCTCTCCACTAACAGGCCAAATGACTTTAGACAGCAGAAAGTATAAAATGCTTGGATTTACATATCAAAGTATATTGAGTGTTTATATTCTAATACATAAAGCCCTCAACTATACTGAAAAAAAAAAAGATATTGCCAACTATGATCCAGGTAATACTTCTGTTTTAAATTTAAGAAACAGAATTATTAAAAAAAAAAAAAGCCAAAGGATTATTCAGCATTACCTATACATTAAAAAAATCGAATCCCTCATCAAAAGTATCTTTAGGGATAAAGGAGGTTCAACTCTAGTTTGGCCAACTACTATGACCTTGGGGAGTTACTTAACCTCTTTAAATTCCAGTTTCCTTATCTGAAAAATGATGGTGAAAATGTTTTCCTCATAGAATATACATGAGAATTATAGAGCTCATGTATGTAAATAATTTTGCAGTTTGTGGTACTAAAAACTCAGTAAGGAACGCCTGGTTGGCTTGCTCACCGGGGAGCCTGCTTCTCCCCTGTTTGTATGCTCTCTGACAAATAAAATCTTAAAAAAACTTCAATAAAATTAAAAAATGATGCTCTTAAAAAAAATTCAATAAAATTAAAAAATAATCACATATTTTTGCCCTCAACTGAAAAAAAAAAACTTATTCCCTAACTTTCAAGTTATATGTTACTATGATCACCATTCCCTTTTCAACTGTAACACAGTCCACATTCCCCAGTATTTTTATCAATTACACTTTATGAATGTGTTTTTTCTTTATTTGTGAGAACTGTGTTACCTCTCTGCTTCTTCATGCTGGAAGGATCTCTGGACCAATCAATATTCATGATGGCCTGAAAAAGCTTAATTTATGGGCAATAAAGTGGACCTTAATATCAGGGGCAACTTTATTTCCTTCATTGACTAATGACTGTGTAGAAAAAACAACTAATTTGGCATTTATCCAACTATGTTTATTATCTACATTGCATCAGGTAATACTCTAAGGCAAGGGATACAGCAATGAACAGTCTTTGGCTTCATGGATGCTGCCTGGAAGGATGGTAAGAGGAATGAAACTACTTGCAAATTAGAATAAGTGGTTTAGTCAGGGCAAAAATCTTGTCTTCTCCCTTGGGAAACTTCACTGAGTTATAAATGTGGGAAGAAAAATACAGACTGGGTGTAAGAACAAATGTGAAGAATAAAGGGTAAATCATGGAGCCTTCATTCAGTTCCTACTTCATAGTTGCTGATAC